GTTCAGGAGTTTCTGGCTGCTCTTCACGTCCATCTGACCTTCATCAACTCTGGAGTCAACCTGATGGAAGAACAACAAATAACAGCTTCTCTGTGGTCAAAAATGTTTAAAAATACAAATCTTATTTTTCTCCATCAGACTGCAGTGGACAAAGCTTTAAAGAGTCCAAAAGGACACCTAGACTTGTTCCTCCGGTTCCTCCTGGGTCTTTCACTTCAGACCAATCAGACTCTCCTACAAGGTCTGCTGACACAGACAGGAAGTAGTTCACAGACCAATCAGAAAACAGCTCAGTACATCAAGGATCTGATCAGATGGAATCAGTCTGCAGAGAAAAGCATCAATCTGTTCCACTGTCTGAATGAACTGAATGATGGTTCTCTAGTGGAGGAGATCCAACAGTCTCTGAGGTCAGGAAGTCTCTCCACAGATAAACTGTCTCCTGCTCAGTGGTCAGCTCTGGTCTTCATCTTACTGTCATCAGAAAAAGATCTGGATGTGTTTGATCTGAAGAAATATTCAGCTTCAGAGAAGGTTCTTCTGAGGCTGCTGCCAGTGATCAAAGCCTCCAACAAAGCTCTGTAAGTACAGATACAGTTTCTAAATATGTTACTGTTGGTTTTACTGCAGAGAAAGTTACAGATTCTTTCTTGTCTTATTTCCTCTTCAGACTGAGTGACTGTACCCTCTACAATGAAACATGTGGAGCTCTGTCCTCAGTTCTCAGATCCCAGTCCTCTAGTCTGAGAGAAATGGACCTGAGAATCCATGATTCAGGAGTGAAGCCTCTGTATGATGGACTGCAGAGTCCAAACTATAAACTGGAAACTCTCAGGTCAGTTTTCTCAGTTGCTCAGAAATATCTGAAAAACTCTGTTACTTTCTGCTGAATTAATCTAAACTGCACACCAAGGGCAGAGCCAGAGGTCTGACCAGGGTGTCACATGTCACTCCTGGAATCTGACTGCCCCCCAGGTGCCTCCCCAGTTGATTCACAAGTTATTGAATGTGGCACTGGAAGATGTGAGATTAGAGTTAATGACGACACAGAATTAGTGGTTTGTAGATTCTGTTTCTAAAGACACAAATATTTTATAATGTGCACAGTATTTTAAAATCTAAAACGTAATTTTGGAAGCAACCCTCCAATGGAAAAAAGATTATGGTTGATAGCTTTCTGAACAAAAGAGAATTTAACAGTGGAATAACAACTATCACTAAAAGATGGCACAATTCCAACACTCAGAAGCACTCATACACCTTTGTCACTTGCCCAGGTGAGCTAAACATTTTGTCTGGCTGTTTGGTCTATCTGTGATCTACAGTTACCATTCTTAATTTTTATACTCTTTAGTTGGATTACACAACAATTTAGTAATAAATAAAGTAGCTTAACATTGACTTTGTGTGTGAGAATGACTGAGAGATCTTATCGAACTGAAACATCGTCTCTACTCACTCTGGTTTTTTAGAAAATGTACTTTCCAGTCCAACAGGTAAGTTCAGTTTTATCCTGAGTTGCAATTTTCTAAAACCGATATTGTATAATTTTGCTGCCTTTTTATTGTTATTACAACAAAGTAGACTTTGACGCTGAACATGTTGTGATGATATGTAGAAATGAGCATGATGGAATCATAGGAGGATCTTAAAGAGACAGAGGCCAGTTTCAAGATGTTTCAAACCAGCTGTGATGTGAAGTCAGGTTTATTTTTATTTACACATATAAACAGCCTTTTAATAACAACTGAAGGTGACATATGTCCTGATGCATCTCAGTAATCCTGGTAGAAAAATCAAAAAGAAAAATAGGTAGGTCCTCTGGATGGGTTCTTCTTTAATGAAACATTTCGTCTCTCCTCCAAGAGACTTCTTCAGTCTGAGGAGTTTCAGGTGAACTCAGCCTTATAAGCACTGCCTCCACATGGTGGACAAACAGGTTRGTCACATGCAAAAGAGGACCATCAGCCAAAGAATAGATCAGGGGTGTCAAACTCATTTCCCCCAAGGGCCATACGAGCATTATCGTGATATCTTCACTCTTAAGAATGATGTCCACTCTCAATAGATATATTTAAACTTCTTTTAAATGCTCTTCACAGCTTACAGTTAGAGTACCAGTTCTGTATAACACATGGGGTAACTGCTTCTGCTCTAAATCTCCTGCAGTAGCTTTTTAGGTTTTTCTCTGCTACTGCCTGTAGTGGTGCTGGGTAGTAACACATCCCAAAACAAAAGATTACTAAATCAGGACACCACATACCTCCCCCTTTAAGAGTAAACTATGCCGTGCAATTTAACATCACCCAACCTTCAACTGGTCACAAAACTTACTACCTGAAATTATTTATGTCAAAAATATCTTCTTAGCTGCAGCAGGAACATACAAATTTCAAACAGTCCTACGTAAAATAAAATAACAAATTCAGTTTTTTAAACATAATACAATAAACTAACATAGAAGGTGGGTAGACAACCATCCTTCCAGTGAGTCCCAGAGCGCATTCTTGCTTTTACTTGAGGGAGCTCACTATTTACTCACAAAATCTCTTAGATAAGAAGGAGTCTGTTTCCTACGCTCAGAGCGGCGCAGAACTGGTGGTGGATCTGCTTTGGCATCCGTCGCTACTGCTTTCTCTGCTGGAGAATGAACCTGAGCTGCTTCCACAAGCTCTTCCATTTCCCTTCCCACTGAAGATGAAACAACAGAGTCTGTTGGCCTGTGAACCATCTCCTGTCCTGGAACCTGACGATTATAGGGCTCCCTAGCCATGTCAATCCCAGATGTTCCCATCACTGACGCATGTCGTTTTCGAATTTGGTCCACATGACATCGTAAGACACGTCCATCTCCTGTCTGCACAGTGTAAGATACAAGACCTGTGTTTTGTACGACAGCGGCAAGAACCCACTTTGGTCCGTGACTATAGTTCCAGATGTACACATCATCGCTGGGAGAAAACCTTCTCCATCTGCTCTTCTTGTCATGATGTTCTTTCTGTTAGTTCTGTCTTTTTTGTATTTTTGACTTGATGTCAGGCAACAGGAGATCCAGTGTTGAACGCAATCTTCTGGACATCAGCATTTCAGCAGGCGACAAGCCTGTGGTACTTTGTGGTGTGATTCTGTAGTTGAACAGAAATCTTGCCAGCTTTGTTTCCAAAGTGTCCCCCTTTGCTTTCTTCAGGCCTTGTTTGAACGTTTGTACAGCTCTTTCTGCCAGGCCATTTGATGCTGGGTGGAAAGGTGCTGATGTAACATGCTGTATGCCATTCTGCTTCAGGAATGTTTCAAACTCTTGAATGGTGAAACATGTGCCATTGTCTGACACTATTATCTGGGGTAGGCCATGTGTGCTGAAACATTGTCTGAGCTTTTCTATTGTGACTTGACTTGTTGCGTTGCTTGTGGGATACACTTCAAGCCATTTTGAATGTGCATCTATTACAATGAGAAACATTTTTCCTAAGTGAGGGCCAGCATAATCAACGTGTAGCCTACTCCAGGGAGTTTCTGTCCATTCCCAAGGGTGGAGAGTTGCAGCCGCTGGAGACTTCCTGTTTTCCTGAAAAATGTGGCAGCACTGTACTTCCTTCTCTATGTCAGCATCCATCCCTGGCCACCACATGTATGAACGTGCCAAGCCTTTCATTTTGGAAATGCCAGAGTGTGTGGTGCAGTTGTTTCAAAAGGGTGGACCTTGCCTTCTTTGGAACAACCCTAGCTCCCCATAACACACATCCGTCTCTCACACTCAACTCGAACCTTCTCTGACTGTAGACCTTGAACTGGGTGTCCACTTCTTTGGGCCAGCCCTTTAAACACCTTGACAGCACTTGTGACAGTATGTTGTCTCTTGCAGTCCACTGCCTTACCTGAACTGCAGTGATTGGTGGATCGTCCATCAGGTCCAACATGAGGACTTGTCCTGCGTCGTCCTCTTCCTCAACCTGTGGCAGTGGCAGCCGACTCAGTGCGTCTGCATTGGCATGAACTTTGCCTGGTTTGTAGACTATGGTGTACTCGTATGCTCTCAGCAGGGTAGCCCATCTTTGCACTCTCGGTGACCACAACTGTGGTACTGGTTTCTTTTCATGGAAAAGAGATATCAGTGACTTGTGGTCAGTAATGATTGTGAATCTACAAGCGTAGAGATACTTGTGAAATCTCTTCATTCCAAAGATGATGGCTAACCCCTCCTTGTCGAGTTGTGAGTAACACTTCTCCGCTGGTGTTAATGTCCTTGACATGAAACCTAAAGATTTTTTACTTCCGTATTCCATCACGTGTGACAATACTGCGCCTACTCCATACGGTGAGGCATCACATGCAAGCACCAGGTCTTTGTCGGCTCAGTAATGACACAGCACTTTGGCTGACTTTAGCAGCTGTTTAGATAAATCAAATGCCTCCTCCTGTTCTTTATTCCAACTCCACTTAGCATCTTTCTTCAGCAGCTGGTATAATGGTGCCAAGCGTGTGGAAATATTGGGAAGAAACTTGTTGTAGTAGTTTAGGAGACCCAGATAAGCTTTTAGTTCCATCACTGTTGTTGAAGGTGGAGCTTTCTCAATGGCTTTCACTTTGTTTTGCACTGGGTGCAGGCCTTCTGCATCAATTCTATGACCCAAATATTCCACCTGATCCTGTAAGAAAGCACATTTACGCCTGTGAAGCTGCAGGCCAGTTTCCTTGAGTCTTTTGAGTACCTCATCTAACGTTTGCAGGTGTTCGACAGTGTCTCTACCTGTCAGCAGTATATCATCTAAATATACCAAAACCCTGGGCAGACCTTGTAACAAGCTTTCCATCGTCCTCTGGAAAATAGCTGGGTGGTGACACGCCGAATGCTAGTCTTTTGTAGGTGAAAAGACCACGATGTGTACTTATTGTCAGGTATTTCTTTGACTCTTCATCCATGACAATCTACTGCTACGCATAGCTTAGATCAAGCTTTGTGAACTGTTTCCCACCTGTTAGTGCATTAAAGAGGTCTTCCACACGGTGAATAGGATATTGTTCCAGTGATGAAGCATTGTTTACGGTTAACTTGTAGTTGCCACATATTCTGACAGAGCCATCAGGCTTAAGAACAGGTACAATGGGTGCTGCCCACTCTGCATACTTCACTGGGGTTATGGAGTCATCCTTCAGGAGCCTTTCTATCTCCTGATCAACCTTGGCCCTCATGGCATATGGGACTGAGCGGGACCTGTAGAATTTGGGGCAGGCATTTGTAGATACACGGATTGTTGCTTGCGTTCCTTTTAACATGCCTAACTCTTCTTTAAAAAYTTCTTCATGYCTTGAGAGAACTTCGTGTAATCCCTGTGCCTCTGTTTTCACATGCTTAATCTCATCCCACTTGAGCTTTAACTCTTCCAGCCACCCTCTGCCTAACAGGCTTGTTCCAGTTCCCTTCACTACCACTAGGGGCAATGTTTTGGTTTGGGTGCATAGTTCACCTCAACCTGAGCCACCCCCACAACTGTTATTTCCTCTCCACTGTATGTCCTAAGAGAGTTTGCTTTCTTTTATACGTGGTCGACTTTCTTCATGCCACATCTCACAGAACTGTTTTTCATTCATAATACTGACACTACATCCCGTGTCTATTTCAGACTTGACTTCTTTTCTGTTTACTTTCACATTTACTTCAAATGGTTCAACTCTTTGAATAGAAGTTTTGGTTTTCAAACATGCTAGATTGAATGCTTCCTCATCTTGATATGAACTGCTTTCATCCTTTTGTTGTTCACATACCTTGTGTGATCTGTGTGGCTGCCCCCGGTGACCAAACTTTTCCTTGAGCTCACATCATCTTTTCTTTTACTTCTGGATCTGCATGCTCTGGCGATATGTTCAACTTTTCCACAGCTGTGACATTTGGAGTCTTTAAACTTACATTCGGTGGCATTGTGATTTTTCCCGTGACATCGGTAACACTCATTCTGTTTCCAACTTCCTCACTCTTGTCTCACTCCTCTGCCTTCATGTTGTTACATGTTGCTGGCTGCTGCAGGTCATGAGCGTTTCTGTTTGTGGCTTCCGCAGGTACAGCAATCTGAAATGCTTTCTCAAAAGTCAGATCAGTCTCTGATAGAAGCCTTCTTTGAATCCTATCTTCATTGATTCCACACACCAGACGATCCCTCAACATCTGTTCCAATGTAGCACCAAAGTTGCAATCCTGAGCAAGCYGCCTCAGCTCTGCTACATATGCGCTGATGGATTCAGTGGGCTGATGTGAATGAGAGTCAAATTTGTACCTTTGTACAATCTCACTTGGTTTAGGATTGAAGTGCTCTTTCATTGTTGTTACAAACTGCATGTAGGTTTTAGAGCTGGGCTTGTCCGGGCTCACTAGGTTTCTCATTAGCTTTTATGTAGCTGGTCCCATCATGGTAATAAGGATAGCTCTCTGTTTGTCCCCATCATTAATGTCATTGGCTTCAAAAAATTGATTGAGAATCCCGCAGTTTTTTTCCCAAGTCTGCTCTTTGGCATCAAATGCTGACAGAGTACCTATCATTACACTCAATTTTGTAGTTGTACATCACCTTAGTTAGATCTATTGTTAGTCTTCTTTCTTTCATTTTCACTTCCACCAGCCACATACAGTACATCCAGACAAGCTCTGCGTCTTGAATCAGGCACAATCTACGTCCATCCAGTATCCTCGTTGCCAATACTGTATGTGATATATTCACTCTTAGGAATGATGTCCACTCTCAGTAGATATTTTTAAACTTCTTTTTAATGCTCTTCACATGTTACAGTTAGAGTACCAGTTCTGTATAACACATGGGGTAACTTCTACTGCTCTAAATCTGCTGCAGTAGCTTTTTAGGTTTTTCTCTCCTACTGCCTCTAGTAGTGTTGGGTGGTAACACAACCCAAAACAAAAGATTACTAAATCAGGATACTACTGTTATGGTGACTCTCAAAGGGCCAGTTGTAATTAACTTTGATGTTATATAACTTTGACTGAACAGTGTTTAAACATGTCCTCTTTTAAACACTGAWAAGAACTAAGTGTACGACTGACTAAATCTGAAATAAATAATACAGAAACATAATATTATGTGCTATTATAATATTAATTATAATATATCTGGGGATCTTGTTCACGAATGAGGGAAGAACGGAGCGGGAGATCGACAGGCGGATTGGCGCAG